AATCATCAAAATTCTATTCCGGGGTCGTTTGCACATAATTTGACATCCGGTCACTATTTGAACTTAAACTTTTAATTTTTCATCAAAATTCCATATCTTTGGCTAGGGACCTCGGAATTTGATTCCGGGCATACACCTAAGTCCCAAATCACTATATAGACCTATCAAAATTGTCAAAACACTGATCCGAGTCTGTTTGCTCAAAATGTTGACCAAAGTCAACTCAATTGAGTTTTAAAGCTCTAATTCACATTTAAATTCATTTTTCACCTGAAAACTTTCCGTTTTTTTTACGGACTGCACACGCAAGTCGAGTAATGGTAAATAGTGCTTAAATTACATAATTAATCATTAAATTTAAAGATGACATTTTGGGTTATAACAACTTCACTTTGGTCAATACTCAATTTCTTTTGTGCATCTTTATTTACAACAACGGTAGCAGCAGGGAAGCACGTCCATGTGCAGTTGTACCATAATATCTCTCACTTCTTCACCAGACTGCAAAAAGGGCAAAGAAAGAAAATGGCATGAGATTTGATCACTTTTGTTTGGCAATTCAGAGTTGATAAACTTTCCGCCAAAGGATGTGGTGCAATGGATGAGACTGCTCTTCCCTTGACTAGAGGTCTCGGATTCGAGTTATGGGTATGAAAAAATTCTTGGTAAAGAGCGTCTCCCCCCGAATGACGCCCTACGTGACGCGAATTCGGATATAGTCGGGCTGCAATACGGGTACCGGATACCGGATACCGGATGGAAAATAAAATTAAAAAAAAAAAGAGTTAGATAAACTTTTTGTCAACAATGGAAAATTAATTTGACCAAAGGATGCAGGTTGAGAGTGTGGACAAATGGAATATCTCCGTTATTACTTATTAGTAATAATAATTAGTGATTCAAATCATTGTCGCTTCAAGAGAGATCCAATATCAACATCAGAAGATCTCTAAAAAAACATGAGAAAAATGGCAATCTTTCATATACTAAAATCAAAGAAAGTGGACGAAAGGGCATTTTATGAGACCAACAAGGTAGTGGAGAAAATTGGAGTTTCAAAAATCACCACCCTTTTACTGTCTATAAATTTAGAGATTTGACCTTATTTTTTATAAATTAAAAAATTTGAAAACCTCTCCCCTACATCGTTGTATTATTTTTCAAAACAAAGATAAGGTGTCAAGTGTGATTTGTTCCGCCATTTGAGTTCGCCGAAGTTTTATAATTTGAAGTGCCGCTATTACAAAATAATTTTTCGTTCTATCTTTAGAGGAATTAATCCAAATATTTAGGCAACAATGAGGGGATTAAATTCCTTAAGGACACATAAGAAAATTCTGGACTTGGAATATTTTTGCATTTTTTGTTTGTGTTAAGTTTTTGATTTTATGATTTTCTGTTAATAAACACAATTTTACTAACAATTAGTTCCACTAACTCAACTAAATTTCGTCAGAGGTTTGGTAAGTACTTGTCTTAGGAAGAACACTCGACACATGATTCGAGGCAGATGTAGAACGAATTCTTCCGTGAGTTTATAAAAATTATTGTTTAATTTGACTCGAGCTATATATACATATATAAAAAGAACTCACTCTAAAAACTCTATATGCGAGATTTGTCTCTTGCACGTTATGCGTAATTTCTCCCGCGAATATAGGTAAGAATGAAACTCTAGCTATTTCTTCCTCATCACAAGCTCATAGCATATTGAGTGATTGAAGCATTATCTTCCCATTTATATCTATCGTGTCTTGAAGGGCGTATATAGGATTTTTATAAGCGGTATCAATTTTTACAGAAAAATAAAGAATAAATAGCATTAATTAGCACATTTTTAGACAAAAATAGCTTTAGTGCATTGGTTTTGTTTAGTCATAAGTTATATTGAAGATTTGAGAGAAGCTCAGTGAAGATGACGAAGAGAGGAATGAACGAGAAAGTTCTAGAAAGTGTTCTCCATTTGAGAGAAATCTGGCCTATATTATTGCAAATCTTAAGAGTACAATGAGCAAATCCCCGTATATATATATTCTCTATAATTAGCAGCTAATCTACAACTGTATCTATCCTTTACACTAGCCAATCCGACAATTAGTTATAACTAGCTAACAACCTACTTAACAGACTGAATCTCCACTCACGTGACTGGCACATGCTCGTTCCTTTCTTCAACATTCCCCCTCAAGCTAGATAGTGCAAATAGGTTGAGCACCCCTAGCTTGCTCATTAGGTATTCATGTTGTGATCTTTCCAGAGCCTTTGTAAACAAGTCTGCTTCCTGATCTTTTGACATCACATATCTTGTTTTAACAACTCCTTGCTGAATTCTTTCTCTGATGAAGTGCAAGTACATTTCTATATGTTTTGTTCGTTCATAGAATATGGGATTCGCAGTAATTTGGATTGCTGCTTTGCTATCACAATGTAGTTCCACTGGTAATTCAACCTCTGCACCCAGCTCTTTGCACAACCCTGTTAACCATAGAATTTCTGAGACTGCAGCAGCCATGCTCCTGTATTCAACTTCTGCTGAGCTTCTTGATATTGTGCACTGCTTCTTTGATTTCCAAGACACCAAAAAGTTTCCCAGCTTCATCACATATCCTATCACAGACCTTCTGTTCACTGGACATGATGGCCAGTCAACATCACAAAAGGTTGTGCGTCTTGGGGACTGCTTTGAGCTCATTAGCAAACCCAGGCCTGGAGCCTTTTTTTTTGTCTCACAAGTCTTATTGCAGCCTCCATGTGTGACTTCTTTGGGCAATGCATGAACTGGCATATACACATGACATACGGGCCTAATAGGCCAACATCATCATTTATAAACTCAAAACATAGGCCGACAAGGCCGTACAATCTTTCACATACATGAACTGGCTCAGCATATGCACTGCATAACAAATGCCTGGCCTTGTCATGGTGAGGTACAACAACTTCCCAACTAGTCTCCGGTATGGTCCTGCATCTGGCAACTTCTCAACTTCTTTCAGATTCAAGTATTGATCATATTCCACAGTGGTAAATCTCTGATTGCATTCCATTGGGGTTGTCGATGGCTTTGATCCTGCCAGTCCAAGGTCAGTGATCAATTCCATTGCAAACTTTCTTTGATTTTGAAGTTACACTGCAATATAGACTTTGCCTCTGAAATTAGGCAATGATGATTCCCAGTTGTGAGGAGATCATCCACATACACCAGGATGATTACTAGACTGGTCCCTTGCTTCTTTATAAACAAAGAATAATCAAAACGGCTCTGCACAAACCATGAGTTGATCAAAGCTTCAGTCAATTTCAAATTCCACTGTCTTGAATCTTGCTTCAATCCATAAAGGGATTTATGCAGCCTACATACTTTCCCCTTTGGCTGTGAAATCCCTGAGGCAGGCACATATACACTTCTTCACTGAGGTCACCTTGAAGAAATGCATTGTATACATCCATCTGATGCAAGTTCAAATTGTGTGTTGCTGCTAAGGCTAGGACCACTCTGACTGTTACCATTTTGACTACAAGAGAGAAGGTCTCTTGGTAGTCAAATCCTTCAATCTGATTGTGACCTTTTTCAACAAATCGAACTTTGAATCTCTCAACCTCCCCATTGGCTTTATATTTTATTTTGAATATCCACTTGCAGCTAATAGAAACTTTTCTTGTTGGCAAATCTACTAAGGACCAGGTTCCATTTTCTTTGAGGGCAGTCAACTCTTGGTCCATGGCTTCAACCCACTTAGGGTCTGTTGTTGCTTCTTCATAGCTCATAGGCTCCTTCAGGCTGGTGATTTTGGAAAGATAAGATGTGTACTTGGTTGAAACACCATCATGGCTCAAGTATTCTTGCATTGGATACTTGCAAGAAGGTCTAGAAGTTGAGCTTGTCAATGACCCATTGCACACATAGTCCTGTATCCAGACAGGTTCCTTCACAGTACTGCTTGACTTCCTGAGTTGATCTTCTAGATAGAAATGTATGACTGCTTCTGAAGGTGTTTCTCCTTGCCGTTGTGCATATTCAAAGGCTGGTAAAGGCATTTCTCCTAGCTGTTATGCATCTTCAAGGGCTGGTGAAGATAAAGGAGATGGTGTTTCTGTAGCAGGTGATGCCTCATGAGGGAATTCACCTTCAGATGAAGGAGTTGGTGTATGCGGATCATCAGTAATGTCAATGGGCATATCATGATTGCTGGTGTTTGGTTCTATCACTCCATTGGGAAAAACCTGCAGCTTTCCTTCCTTTAAGAGATGAAAAGGAAATATATTCTCCATGAACTTCACATCCTTGCTCACAAAAAAGTGTTGGTCAAGATATTATATAGCCTGTAGCCTTTTTGGGATGAAGAATATCCCATCAGAACATCTCGAATAGCCCTTGCTGCAAATTTATCTCCTCCTACCAGAAGTTTAGCAAAACAAAGACATCTTATGGTCCTCATATGCTGTAAAGATCGTGCTCTCCCATATATCATCTCAAATGAGGACTTTCCTTAGAACACTGATAAAGAAAGTCTAATTAATTACATAAATTGTTGCATGCACACTCTCTCCCCAAAACTTGAGAGGTAAATGACCTTGCAATCCAATTGCCCTAGCCACTTCTAGTATATGTCTGTGTTTCCTTTCCACCACCCCATTTTGTTGTGGGGTGTGGACACAAAAACTTTGGTGAATCATTCCATACGATTGAAATAAGCTATTGCACTCAGAATTGAAAAATCAAGTTCCATTGTCACTTCTCAGAATTTTGACTGTTCCACCAAATTGAGTCTTTATTAAAGCAAGAAACTGTTTTAAGCATACAACCACATCACTTTTGAGTCTTAACAAGTAAATCCATATCATCCTACTGTAATCATCTACTATAGTAAGGAAAGATTTGTATCCATTGTGACTTGCCACTCTATATGGACCCCATACATCTACATGAATCATCTCAAAATGTTTATTTGATCTACTTGTACTCTCTGGGAAGGGAAATCTTCCTTGTCTAGCTAGAGGATAGAATGTGCAAACCCTTGTTCTATCATTATTGGTCTTGAACCTCATGTTTGGAATTTGTTTTACCACTTTTTCTGAAGCATGCTCAAGTCTCCCATGCCATATTCCTAGATCCTCTTATCTTATGGAATCACCATGTACTTGCACAACCGCAACCTTGACTTCATCCTCCTGATGCTGCAGATTGTACAAGCCATCAAGTTCTTACCACTCCCCTTCACGTTCCCATTGTGAAGGTCCTGCATGATCCAAAAGTCAGGATAGAAAGACAGGAAGCATTGTAAGTCCCTTGTAAGTTTAGAGACAGACAATAAGTTGTATTTAAAATCTGGAATTTAGAGCACATTCCTAATGACACCACATTCACCAATTTTACTTTCTCTAGTACAAGCAATATCTAATGAAGTACCATCAGGTAGATAAACTTTAGATGCAGACTTTAGACTACCAGTGTTTATCTTGTCAAGTAATTCTCTGGTGTGAACCATGTGATTGGTTGCACCAGAGTCTACTATCCAATTTTCATTCTTTGTTTTGTCGGGTGTTTTAGTGGTCTTAGATGTACCTGCAAAATGCTTTGAATTATCACTTGCATCTTTGCTAATAAACTTTAAAATTTGATCATATTGTTCCTAAGTGAACATGATTGGTTGAGCCAATGTAGAGATTCCTTGCGACATAGTTGCTATTTAGTCACCACCCGATTTCACATATAGGCTGTGATGGCGCCCAACATCACCGCTAGGCAAGCCAACTAGTGAATTAAATATATATTTCCTCTTTTAATAAATTTTTGGGTAATTAAATTTTCCTTATTTGCAAGATTTAATAAAATAAAAGGTTTGAATAAATAAAACCAAGAAATAATTCAAAACCACAATTCTACTAGTGTGTGTGCCAAGACCTGGTGTCACAAGTATATGAACATCTAGTAGATTATACAAACTTCTAACCATTGTCTGAATATGAAATAGACAGAATATAAAATACAAAAGAGAGAGACTCTAGGGCTGCAGAACGACTCAAGAAGCAGCTCACCACTAGGCCTCAGGATATCCAGGGTACACACCGGTAGGACCACTTGATGCACATGCCTCAGATCTTTCACAAAAAATGCAACAAGTGTAGCATGAGTACGTAAACAACGTGTACCCAGTAAGTATCAAGTCTAATCTCGAAGAAGTAGTGACGAAAGGTCTACTTCGACACTTATTATGGGTTAATAATACTTAGATAGAAATATTTAAATAATCACAATTTATGTGAACAATAACAAATTTTTCTTAGAAGGCAGAAACAAATAATTCTTTCATAATTTGATAATTTCCAAATAATCATTTACCTTCACAAGTTGCAATAAAATAAATATCAAAGCACCGAGTAATTTTTATTATTAAGCACGATTTATACTGAGGTCGTACGACCCGATCCAGAATAATGTGTACACTGCCGAGGGTCGAGCGACACGAACCATAGATGCATCTATTAACTGCCGAGGCATTCAGCCCGCTCCTCAAGAAGAGGAAGATATTTTTATAACCATTTGACTTAAATTTTATTGAAGTTTTATACAAAAATAATACGAATTTCACTAACGGTCTTCCACAATTTCTCCAACAATTACTAATATAATTTAGGCACTTTAAATTAACAAGTATGATGCAAAAATTCCAATTAATTCATGAATTGGGTCCTAAAACTACCCGGACAATAGCATGATAGTAGCTACGCACAAACTCTCGTCACCTCGTATGTACGTAGCCCCCCACAATTAGAAACAAATATTTGTTCAAATCACCTATGGGGTAAATTCTCTCTTACAAGGTTAGACAAGAGACTTACTGATAAGTGAGGATTTTGACTACTTATTTACGCCTTTTGACCTTCGTTTTAGTTCAAAAATGCTTAAAAGTATTCCCGAAAACTAATGAAATATGCTTAATTGCAAGAGTATTGGAAAATGAGCCAAAGTGATGAAATTCAACTCAAGAATGAGTGATTTTGAACAAGGACAAAAATTAAGCAAAAAGGGCTAAAGTGCGGAGGACCGCAGAATTCTGTCTGCGGCTGCAAAACAAGAAGAAAATTTGACAGTGCTGCAATGCAAAATGCGGACCGCACAATAATTGTGCGGCCGCAAAAGTCAAGGATCAGAGAGTTGGGAATTCAAGACAATCAAGATCTGCGGACCGCACTATAATTGTGCGGCCACAAAAATCAAATATGCGGCCGCACCCAGAATTGTGCGGTCGGCAGAACTCAAGATGTGCGGCCTCATCCAGAATTGTGCGGTCCGCAGAACTCAAGAAGTGCGGCCGTAGTTCAGAATTGTGCGGCCGCAGAAACCACTCTTGTCAAGAGCTGCAGCAAAGTGCGGACCGTATACATAATTGTATGGCCGTAGAACCTCCGAAAGGGCAATTTTGTCCGAAAATTTCAGATGTGCATAAATAGTATTTTTTACGAAATTAGGTTAAGTTTTGAATATCTGAAAGTTGCGTTTTTCTTTACTGTTTCAGGAAATTTTATCATTCATCACCCACTATGAGTAGCTAAATTTCTAGTTAGGGTTGTGACCCAACCCTAGTGTGGATACCTAATGGGTGTTTGATTTAGGGCTTGTTTATAGTTGAGTGTGTACTATTTAGCGTAGTTCTTGCTATAATTATAGAATTAATGGTTGTAAACATTGATTCAAGTCTATTTGACTTAGTCTCTATTTTATAAAGAGAGACTGGAAATACTAGAAAAACTTAGCTAACAAGAAGTTGGGATGAACTCAAGAAATTGATAGTCTCAATTAAAAGGTTGAATCTAGATATAGTAAAACTCGACTTGAGCATCTATCAACTGTTTTGTGCATTACCCATTTGGACTTGAGAAAACCAAGTTGGGCAAAACCACTCTATTACCGAGAGGTATTGAGTGTGTAATTATGTGTTGATTGCTATAATACACCCTGACCAACAAAACCCGCTCTAAAGCCCACAACTCGTTAGGCAAACACCTAGGTGAAAGTCACAGCCCTAGATCTTTTAAATACTTGAAAAACAATACCAAAAATATTATTCTCTAGCTTTACATTTGCAAGTCGTAGCATAATTTAGAAGTAGAATCAAAACACAGTTTGTGAAAGTGCATCTTAGACACTTTACACGCTTAGTCCGAATATATACTTAATCCCATCTACGCTTCCTGTGGATTCGATCCCGACTCCTAGTTGGGTATTATTATTGCAATCGACCACTTCACAACCCCAAAATGAGGTGTGGTTTGGGCGAGATCACTTCCCGGTCACAATTTCGTGTTAAAGCCTCAATTTGGTGCCGAAAAGACCGAAACTAGCTAAATGTTATATAATTTAATCAATACATGCTCAAAATTTCATAATTTATCTATTAGAGTAATTACCCAACCCAAATTGGTAACATTCCTAAATTTCAACCTGTGCCCACGTGCCTGGATTCTGAAAATTTCCTGAGGCAATCGTCACCCATCACCTCAAGAACTCAAATATACAATTTTTTTCCCATTCCATAACCATTTTCGTGGTTAAAATCACATTTTTATAAAAACCTAAGTTTTTCATCTAACCTCTTGATTTTCATAATTTACATGTTATAGTCTACTCATAATCTATGTATTTAACTCACAATAGGTAGAATTAACTTACCTCCAAGTTGCTAAGTGAACACACCTCTCAAGAAGCTCCAAAATCGCCCAAAAATGGAGAAAATGGGCTCAAAATGGCCGAGCCCCGCTTTTCAGCATTCTACCCAGCAAGTTTTCGCACCCGCGAGGAAAAAGGTGCAACTGCGGTTCCGCTTCTGCGAACAAAATCACGCAGGTGCGGACCAAGGCCTGATTGCCCATTTTCGCACCTGCGCCCAGCTGGTCGCACCTGCGAGCCCGCTCCTGCGACTAGAAGCTGGCACATGCGAGCCCGTGCCTGCGGCTAAAGGCTCGCACCTGCGGACCCTGTGCTAAAGGCAAGCACAGGTGCGAATGCCGTCACACATCTTTTTTCCCGAGGGATA